TTTGGTATTTTGCTTAGCAAATCATATCAACGGGTTGCAAAATTTTTTGGCATGTCCAGAAAAGTTGTTAGCTTCTGATAAATTTACCGTTTTTGTTCTGTCATAACATAATGTTTTTTTTTTTTTTGAGATAACATGATGTTACAAGATAATGTTATAACATAATGGTACAAGATGATTATCACCTTTGTCTTCTTCCTAATTAAAAACACGTGACCTGGATGAACAGATCTCGATCCAGAAATGTCATAATGATGGGGACAACAGACTTCGGGTGTGTCATTCAGCATGTCATTCATATAATTTAGCATGCGGAGCATCACTTGACTGCTCAGATCAAACTCTTTTCAGTATTGGCGGAGAGCAAGAAGGTCAGTGTACAGGAAAAGGTCTGATAAAATTGTCATGGTTTAGTCGATATTGGAATACCGAGTCGTCTAATGATAGCTCTTCGGATAAATCATCTGTATAATATAGGCAGCATTAGGTTTTTTTATTTTATTTTATTTTTTTCTTTTAAATTTTCCTTTTGTTTTTGAGTTGTCTTTTTCTTTTGTTGTTAAATCTTGGCTTGTAATTTTTCTAGGGTGTAGAGAAAGTTTTGGCACATAATGCCGTGCCCTAGAGGGTAGAGGTAGTGTCCAATTGTGTTGAGCCCAAGTTATTTGATTAATTTGGGTGAGGTTGGGCTTTCAAGAAAAGAAAGCCATTTGTAGAGATATTGAAAAGAAAGAGAGAGAGAGAGAGAGATAGAAACAACAAAAAGCAATGTTTGGCCGAAGGCCTTATTAGCAGAAAAGGAAAAGCCTAGTGTTCTATTTGCAAATTTCTGTTCATGTGTTTTGTTATTTTTAAAGCTCTTTTCTTGATTTATTTGCACGTATTGTCGGGGGGATAGCCCTTCTTTTGATTTATTTGCATGTACGTCGGGGGTAGAATGCGACGAATTTAGTGTTAAGGGGATTGCCTGATATCCCTCAGGCTTTGGCCTGGATCTCCAATGCAGATATTTAATCTTTCCCAATCTCCATTCTTTTGTTGAGATGATAATTCCTTGGCAGTAAGCAAAGGCTAAATCCCAAACTAATTGCCTCCTGCCTATCTTGAATCCCAAATCAATGCTCTTGGAGGGCTACAAAAATTGCAACTCCATACGAAAATGGTTAAAAATATAAGTTGGACGGTTTATCGCCATGGAAAGAAATATCAGATCTTATGGGATTAAGTTGTTGTTTTGTTGAAGATTGTGCATAAACACTCTTAGGAGGGTATTAGTCTAATTGATTAACCCGTATTATGTATAAACATATAGTATTAAAAGAAACATATGGTATTTTTTTTGCCTCAGTAATTGCATACGCCCATGTAAACATAACAATAATCGATAGTTTTATTATGGTTTAGTGTCTCCAAATCTCAGGAACCACAACTCACAAATATTAAAATATTACCCGCACGGAAACATAAGCCAATTCTAAACAGGCCCTCTATCCGTAATAATAATAATAATAATAATAATAATACGAAAATATGACGTCATAAATAATTAACAAAAAAAACACGTAAATAATTATTCCTGAATTAAATCATGAGGCCGTGGGGCAAAATGTAATCAAGTAATCCGACCCGGAGCAAGTGCAAGTACTAGTGGCATCATCGTAAGCATAGCTGTAGGCTGTGGGGCACGCATTCTTGAACATCGCCGAGTACTTAGTCGGAGGGCACGTCTGAGGAGTAGCGTGCGCTCCCGTGCAACAATACTCGGCCGTGTTAAAAGCCGCGCAGGCGCTTTTGCACGCCACCACCGTACCCGAATCCACGACCCGAAGCTCCGCCGGGCAATTACCAGTCACATCCGACACGCAACCCGCGAACTGACAATCACCCGACCCGCCCACGGCCTTCACTGCCATCCCCACATTGTATCCGTCTACTAAGCTCACGTCGTAGAAGTCCTTCTCCGTGCTCTGAGATGCTATTGTGAATTCCACGAGAGTGACAGGCGGAATGCCGCCGCCGGCGCACTTCAACACTCCGCCGCAGTCTCCGGTCACGCACTTTCCGGTACCCGACTCGTCGAAATTGCAGCCTGTTCGACCCCAGAAGCGGCCCGACCATCCAGGCGGGGCTGGGAAACTGACGGATGCGCCAGGCTGCAGAATGAAGCCGCCGTCACCGAGAGGGGCAGCGTTGCCTGAGACAATACCAGGCCATACTGTGTGGGAACAACGGTTTTCGACGGTGAAGACGGTTGCTGAAGTTGAAATAGTAGCACCTGCAGTTTCCGGTTGGTTTGTTAGTTACATATTCATGCAAAGAAGAAAGACGCATTTACTATTTATGGCAATGTTAAAAGTCGAGCATGATCACGCAAATCCCATTACTATATGTTATGAAGTTGTCAAAGAATAAATTAAAAAAAAAAAAAAAAGGAAAAGAAAGCTGATAGAGAAAAAGAAGATTGTGTTAGGTTTACCTAAAGAGAATACAAGAAAGAGGAGAGAAATGCCAGAAGAAATCGCCATGAAAACTAGTGCTTCGATGAAGAAAAGAAGAAGTGGGTAGAGACGTGTGTGTGTGTATATATAAAGCAAATGGGTAAGAGCCGGTGTGGGGAGTTATTAGAGCTAATACCCAGCAGGGTTTATATATATATATACGTGAGTTTGTGTGCGTACATATATATAAATACATGTATGTATAGGAAATAAAGTATTAGTCGTCTCCTAAGAATAAATTGGGTGTTCATCTCATCTTTTCGTGATGGGTAATTCAGAAATAGAAAACTGAATTTAGTGGGGGGGGGGAGGGGGGGAAGTCATCTTTGGGAAGCATTGAATTAATTAGTTAAACGCCTTTCTTTTCGTGATCTTCCCCACTGAAATTCATCTTTTATTTTGTTAATTATAGTTTTGTCATTAACCCATACTAATCTTTTTTTATATTGGAAATTAATTCAACTCATTTAATATTTTAAGAAATAAATCTAATTAAAATTATTCTTTTAAAAATATTATTAATTCTAGTATAATTTACAAAGTATTCATAAAATTTCTTTTTCTTTTCTGTAATTTCGTTTTTTGGTGAAATACCAATTTGATCATTATTGCCAAAACGGGAATTGTTAAAACCTGTTTTTGCACGACCCGATTAGAGGGGGGACCGTGTCAGCCAATTATTAATTAAAAATAATTAGCGTCTAATTAATGGCTTTTTCTCACTTACATTATGTACCCATTAATTATTGCGTATCTGTTAAAAAAAAAAAACAATTAAAAAAGGCGAAAAAATAAAGCAAATTTTTAGAAATTTCACACGTTCTTAGGCAGTTGCCTCGCACGTGCCTCAACTAATTTTTGTTCCCCTCCAAATTAAAAAAAAATTAACGTAAATGAAAAATAAACTTGGTTACTAATGGGATTTGTCAATTTCATAATTTCATTAAGCCAATAACAAGTTATTAATTGGGTCCATTTTAGTTTTCAATTTATTGAAATTATTTTCTTTTTTTTCTCCTGACGGCAGACCCACATGCGTGTATTATAATCTATTTTTATAAATACTAAATCAATAAAATTGGTCTAATGTTTTCTTCACATCCAAATTCAATGGAGTCAAACGGTCAACAATTTGAATACGAAAATTTTTTTATTTAATTAATTATAATTTTGATAAAGTTTTAAAATGTTAATTAGATTTCTAGTATTATATTATACATTAAGTTCATAGTCGTCAATACTTTTTTTTTTTTTTTTTAATACATATTTTCAGTTTCCTCATTCGTAGCCCGTAAAATAAACTTCTTATTCTAGAGAAAATGACATGATAAACTTACAAAGAATTTAGCCAAAATAGTGCTTCTAATAATTACTTGTTTGTACGATGAAATCAGAAGTCAAATCTATGAAGCTTTACAAATCCATGTTGTCTCAGTCTACATCCTCATAGGTTAATTAGATACATGAAAATATCTAATAATATAAACATGTGTATGTATATACTTTACAATGTAAAATGATTTTTTTTTTTTTTATGTAAGGAATAAAATAAATCTAAAAATTAAAGTTGAATAAAACAAATCTATTCCTAGCAAATCAAATATATATGAATATTAATTGTAAATGTAATTAAATTTATGTTAGAAAAAAACAACACGTTCTGCGATTGATCTTTTAAATTATTACGTAATTTTTTAGAGTTCTCTCACTCTTTTTATTTCTAATAATAAAATATAAAAATAAAAAATTTTACGTATAATTTGAAGACTATTACCACATATTTGTAAGTAAATTTATCTGTCAACTTTTTTTATTTTAATTTGACCAATTACAAAATTAAAAATTCTATATTTGGTCTCTACACATAAAAAACTTAGATTTTAATTTGATACGTTAAACCCCAATACACTATTAACTTTATCATATCACTTTAAACGAGTTCAATTAATTTAATAACATTTTATATACATTAATTTACACATATAAACTTACATATTTGTTTGAAACATTCTCATCGAATTTCCATTGAAACCAGCAATTACCCTTTTAATTTCCATACTTGTTTTTATATATTATAGGAGTGATCTTCCAGAAAATCTCCTTTTTTTAGTTCTTTCTTTGTTTGTTTGTTTGTTTTGGACCCAACATTTTCTTACTTAATCATCACGCAATTTTTTCCCCTCCAAACGTTCAAAAATGGTTTTACAGGAGTCCACTCAAAGATCCTCACAACATTTCCAAAGATAAACATAGTGTATTGTAGATTATCCAAAGAATGTTAATATATGTACTAAAAATTATTCAGTTCTGGGTTGTTTGGTATACAATAATGACTTCAGAAATGGTAGAATTGGCATCGGTTGAAATTTGAAATGTGTAGCGAGAACAAGATAGATGCACGTCAAAGCAACATAGAATTCGAAGAATTTGGATGAGAAGAAAGTGAGATAAGTAAAGAATGCAGTAAGGCAAAACACAAGCACAGAGTTGAACAGACAGTTGAGCGATGGAAATTGTTGTTGTTGTTCCATGAGTTGATCAGGGAAACGACCTTGTGCTTTAAACTGCGATAGGAGCTTGTCCTTGGACTCGAATCTATCAATTAACCAATCAGCAAATTCAGTATCCGATGGAGGAATATCGTTTATGGGAATACGCTGGACATGGATATGAACCTCTGAGGGATCAACCCCAAAAACATTGTCCAAGAAGGAAGGCAGATTATGCTTGTATGCAATACTCACATCATACACTGCATTTTGTTTTAAGAAAAAACAACTGTTAGAATCTATTTGTTCCCAACTCATATATATATATATATATACATGTTTACATGATTAAATATACTCTGAATAGGGAAATTTGAAGGATGAAATTTTGTTACCAACCTGCATCTATGGTGTCCCTTAAAGCTTCCAAGCAAATGGAAAAACCCTTTGTTTTAGGGAGCAACACATTAGTGAGTTTTGGCAGGCCAGCTTTACTCGCATATTCTTGACTCCTCTTACATTTCTCTTCACTGAATAAAACAACAACAAAGATTTTGAATGTGTATACATATGCATGATATAGTGAAAATTTTTTACACAATAAGACTAGTAGTTTCGTACGTAAAATCAGTTCCTTCGGGGAAAAGAGCGAGCCATAAGGGATCTTGAGGATTCTTGAGAGTCGAAAGCATTTGGTGCAAAACAGGTTGATCAACCTCCCACTTCCTCTCCACTGAAATGAATTCCAAGACATGAAATCCCCAGCCAAACACAGGAAGGCCCATCAAGCTGCTCTTAAGAACATACTTGATATCACCAAGGCAACTCTTTCTTACTGCAAGATTCCATAAGTACATCCAA